CTTGCTTCTCAGCACTACTGGCAAGCTCCAGCCATGCCGAAGGCTAAGCGAGGAACCTGCAATGCACTGCTTCTCAAAACCGCTCAAAAGGTCATGCATGAAGCCCTGCTTTCAGTGTTGGAAGAAGAAGGGGAAAAAAAAGGTTGGGAGGTCGGACTTGTAGTTAATTTTTCTGTTGTTGTTTTGTTTTGTTTCTTTTCCCTTTGCTGGTTTAGGCTCTGTTTTGAGACAATACAGGTTAAGTGCATCTGGACCTCAAGTTCCTCAACTCCAGGATTAGGAACCTCTGGTGGTGGTTCGGGCTAGGTCCAGGCCTGTTTGACTAAGAGTTACACACAGATGCTTGTCTTGCCCTGGAGAGCCCCCGCCGGAAGAGGAGGGCGCTTTCGCAGTGGACCGGCAGGGGCATTGAGCCGAATCTTCCTTGGCTGTGGTCTCTGGCTGGCGACCTTGAGTTCTCTCAAGCAGAGGAGTGTGGAAGCACCCGGCATCCCTTTGTAGAGCTTCGCTTCCCCAGCTCTCCCTTCAGGTCCCTCATTCCCACAAGCACGCCAACCCTGGAACAGTCCGAATTTCCAGGGTGGCCTTCTGTAATTTAAGGACCCTTACCAGGACAGGGTGGACACTGAAGGTTGGGGAGCACCAGTTCTGGAGCCTAAGGTTGGTCTGGGAGAAATCCTGGTCACTATGGTTGCAAACAGTTTGGGCTCCGGAGGCACCCCCCACCCCGCTACCCCCCCCCCGCCCTTTAATCTTTTCTTCCATTCTGAAGTGGGCCTGAGCAACTCGATCTAATGTCCAGTTGCTTTTGGATTACTGCATAGCTGAAAAAGTAAACAGGACCGTTGAAGTCGCTTGATTTGTTTTCAGTAAGCAAATAATACCCCAAAGCATGGCTGTAATTTACCACGAATTAAAATTGATTCTTTTCATCAGGCAAGAAAATAGGAAAATGTGAGATCGTTAATTATTGAGGGAGGCGCTTCTCATTAAAGGGAACAATGTTACAATTCAGCATCTAATAGCAGGACTGTGAATAATAGCGTGCCGTATTTCAGCCCACTGTCTGCACAGAAAAGAGCCGTTTACAAACAACGCAAGCAGCCGAAAGTTACATTTAATAAACACCCGAGATTTCTGTAAGTGGAAAAAGCAATTAGGGCTCTGGGCACACTACCCGATTCTTCCTGGAGCACCCTCTATATATTTTTATTCTCCCTGTCTCTGTCTGTACAAAAGATTTGCAATGATAGCAGAAACACAATTAGAGAGAAAAATCAGAATTTCAAACTTAATCTGCATAAATCCATCTTTTGGCCTAGTTGCCGGCTCTCCCATCCCATCCCAGCTCCTATTCCAGCCACACCTTATTTCTAAGTCTTATTCCAAAACTGGATGGCAAAGCATAATGTGGCATTGTTTGTATAGCGGGTGTACTTATAATTTACATAGCTACAAGATTATTATGAAACACCTCTCTCCCAAAGTCTTCAGACAGAGATACCAAGTTCTGCTCGGTCTGGGCGCTCTTGCCTCGGGAGCTAGGATCGGTTCCCTGGCCTTTAAAGGTTCTTTGTGCTTCCTTAAAAAGGAGAAGGGGAGGAGGGTAGAAAGAAGAAGAAAAAAGATTTCCCTGTGCATCGTCCCTTGGCAGGCTCTTGTACAAAATTCAATCTCTATTTTTTATGAGAAGTAAACTGTCTAAATAAATTTTATTAGGGGCAACCAATATATTTTCTGGTAGTTCCCTTTGTCCCACTTCTACGTGTGTGTAACAATCTAAAACCTATTTATTGAGGAAAAATCACTGGGTCCGTCATAGAAAATCCTTTTACTCTGCTTTGAAGTGATTTCTGAAGACATTCTTGTCATTCCGAAGATTTGGGGGCCATTGCGCTAAAGCCTCGCCTTGTTAGGGACTTCAGTTCCCATGATCAGGTGGGAAATGCTTTGAATTATCAACAGCAATGGGCCTGACCGGCACTTTCCCGGCTGCCCCAGGAACGTGGGAAGATGACGAGGAATAAAAACTCGGGTAAATACATCTCAGACGCTGCCCAGGTGGATTCAGACATTGGCCAAACCGAGTTGCAGAGCGAGAACACCGAGCGGGGGCAAGCATTTCACACCAGACCCTGCTTCCTTTGCAACGCCTGTTGGCTGCCGGCTCCGGTCTCTAGCCCCAGCTTGCTCCCTCCCTCACCTCTAGGCCCCCAAGATGCCCCCTCACCCCCTCCCGCCCTTAGATTTCCCTTTTTCCTTTTTTCGTCTCTGCTCTCTCCCTCCCCTCTCTCTGAGGTGCTTATGCTCTGAAGTCTTGGAAGAAATGATTTAGTTTGTTTATACTGCTATAAAAATCAAGACCAATAGAAAAGTCATAAAATGAAGCGGGCTATCAATCACGCCGCAACATTGTTATTCAGTGGTTACTAACAGTGATGGATAATCCTTTGATTTTGTCCCATTGTTATTACTCTGATGTGTCTTCACATTAACTATTACACATTTATTTATCGACCTGAAAGATACAACAAAACAGAATATACGAGCGAGTGCGTGTGGGAGGACGCGAGGCACTGACAGCAGCAGATCCAGGACTGCTGCGGGACCGGGACGTCAGCGCTTGTGAGCACACAAGCTTGTAGACTCCAGGCCTGGTTCTCTTTCCCGGTGACCTCTCAAGTTTCTCACTTAAGCAGTCCGGTCACAGAAGACGCTTCGGACTCTCCTGCCTTCCAGTTCCTTCTTTAGTCACTTGATGCCAGGCTTTCAGGCCTGAATACCCAGAAAAACCCACCCTGGTGGTTCGAAACCCAGAGCCAACCCCGGATGCGCTCTCTTGTGCCAGGTACCGAGCTCGCAGCCCAGCCCTGGGCTACCGAACTGTCCACTCCTGCTGTGCGCACCAGCTGAGTTGTCAAATTTGGGGTTTTTGTGTAAAGAAAATCAAGCTGCTTTTAGACCGTACTCAGTTTGTTTTAGGGTTGGGAAATCCCTCCCAGGCAAAACCCTTCTGGAAAAGGCACCAGGCGCCGGTCGAAAAGCCCGCAAGACTCCAGGCGTGCGACAGCCGCCTGTGCTCCGCCTAGCGCGCTTCCCGGGCTTCGGTGTCCAGCTCCTGCTAGGCCGAGTTCGTACCGGCTGCGGCCGCTGCCACAGCCCGGTCAGGTCCCGATCTTCCGGGTGATAGACGTCCAGCTCACCCACAAAACCGAGTCCCTGCACTCACAGCGTGTGTGCACCAGCGCGGTCGCGCGCGGTCGTGTGTGTGTGTGTGTGTGTGTGTGCGCGCGCGAGCGCGCGCGCGCGCGATCGGCAAGACTTTGAAAAGGTCTGAGGAAGAGAAGCAGGAAACAAAACTGCTCCAGAGTTGCTTCGCAACCTCCTTTGTCTACTTGCTCTTCCCTCACACACACACACACACACACACACACACACACACACACGGTAAAGGACACACACACACACACACACACACCCTCTTCGCATCTGCTCTCGGGCAGCATTTCCAATGTTTTGTGTAAGTCAATTGGACGACGAACAAAAAAAGCCATTTGTTCGGTATTATTTAAAACAGACTTCAGAGGGCCACCCTTTTGTGGAAGCTTTATTTGCACCAAATGAATAATCTTAATTGCATCACTCTCGAATTAAAAATCAATGTTAATCAAGTTGGGAGTAGTAAATATCAGTTTTCATTTTGCCTTGGGTAGAGGGCATTTTTCTTGTGTTGCAAATAAAAATACAAGTCAAATAACTTTAAAGGGGCATCATGTTCTGCTGCAAATACAATTGAAACGGATTGTTTGGGAGCAGATCAGAAACGGTACAGAATTTTGCACTTAATTTCCTCAGTTATCATTTACAATAAGAACCTCTGGGCTTGACAGCCAAGTCTAAACAGTAGTAAATTAGTACAAATTTATACTGATTTTACTCTAATAATCGTAATAAAAGCTTATAGATTTGGCACTAATTACATAAATGCCTAATGATCTTGAAAATTACTCTGGTTAGAAATATATTACTAATCTAAACTTTGTTGTTGGCTGGCTCTGAAAAATCAGAACATTAGAAATGGTTCGCTTCACTTGTGCAAAAGCACTTTAAATTGTTCAAGTAGTTTAACATATCCAAGAGGAAAATAAAGAGGGTTTAACTTTATTTACAGCCTTAAGTGGCTTTGGTAGCCGAACTGAACTTAGAAACTTTGATCGAGGCAGGTTGGGAACCGAGGTGAGACCTGTAGGCCCATGTAGCAGGAAGTCCTGAAATGCAGCTGCTGGAGTTTGGGAGGAGGACACACTTAATGAATCCTTCTCCGCCCCACCCCAGCCCCCAAGTAGAAAGCGAGCCATGGTAGAGTAGGGGGAGCCAACTTCCCCTTTACTTTCTAGGCCCGAGGTGGGGTTGGGGCTCAGTAGGCCCCAGGGCCAAGCTGAGGAGTCTGAATCCCTAGCGAAGGCCTGTAGTAGGGCAGAGGCGAAATTTAGGGTGGCCCTAGAGGCTGAAGCTTGCTAGCCTGGTGCGTCCAGTGTCGCCTAGGTGGCGCGGGCGGGGGTGGGGGCGGGACTCTCAGGTCGAGCGGAGGTCATGCCCTGCTCTGGTGTCGGAACTGCCCCAGTTTCAGGGACGTCCTAGACCTGAAACACCGAGCTGCGCCGATAAAGCGAGCAAGACAGGACAAGAAAAGGGAAGGTGTGGCTGGAGAAAAACCTCAAGGAAGGACTGACCGAGACTCGGCCCAGAGGCCCAGGGCGAGGCCAAGGTGGCCGCTGCTTGCTTTAGCGGCTGCTGGAGGCTGGAGTTGCCTGGGCTGCGGCCGCCGCCTCCTCCCGGCAGGCGCAGGCGGGCGGGCGGGCGGAGTGGGGGACTCTCCGGGCGCTGACATTTGCAGGCTGCCCTCCTGATTGGTCCCCTCGCCGAGCTGCTCACGGGTTCATTCAACTGTTAAGCACCTCCCCGTCTCTCTAAAGGACATTATAATGCAAGAAGCCCCCTTTTTAACCACAAACCGAATTTTCTTTCATTTAGGTGATCTATATATATCTATATCGTATAGCTTATAGCTTATATCTATTTTAAATAACTTAAAGCCGCTAAAATTTGGGGGGGAACAGCTTTCGCCCTGGAGCGGTGCGCGATGCTGTCTCATGCCGACCTCCTGGACGCCAGGCTAGGTGAGTGAGCGCCTCTCACCCGGGCAGCCAGGAGAAGCCCGGGCAGGAAATTGTCAATTTGTTCCTTATTTTACCTTAATGCGCCCTAAATGGACTAATTTCTTTAAAAGTAATTGTGCTGTATTAAAGTTTAATTTGATTTAACATCGTCTTTAAAAAAAAATCTATGGAATATGTAGATCCCAAAACAAAAAGGAGTTAGGAATGCTGGCACCTTTTGTTTTTCTTTTTCTTTTTCTTCCTCTCTCCCCTTAATTTTTTTTTTTTATAAGGAGTTCTAGCCAGTGATAATTTGTTTGGAGCTGTCTCTCTCTCTTTCTTTTCCACTCTTGTTTGCTTTGAATTGGAATTTCTTTCGTCTCCCTTTTCTTCTTCCTTTCTCAATACCACCTCCTTCTCTAAGTATGGTTAAATTTGTTTTCTTTAAAAAAAAAAAAACTTAATCTGGCCTGAAGAAGAAGTGGCTGTATGAAAGCGGATTTACTAAATGTGCTGTTTGAGAAGAAAGCCCAGCTTACCCTCCGGCCATCCCTGCCTTCTCCAAGGGACTCGGTGTTGCCAATGACTGGGAGGGACGAACCGTTTATTTCTCGGGAGAGAAAAGTTGAATTCTCTAAAGTTTGATTCACTGTTATGGCTATCGAGTTTGCTCGAGTTTCTTGAAAGCTTTCTGGGTTACCGGGTTCTGGGTTCCGTCTTAGGAACTATCTTTCGTGATGGATGTGACTCCATTTCCAAACACCTTCTCTGATTTGAGGGGGAGGCGGAGCTGATTGGGGTTTATTTTGAGGGGTGGAAGGCTTGGAGACATATTCATCTTCCAAAAGTCAGAGGGAATCGGCGAGAGTTCATTAGCATCTGGAGCAGCCTCGGAGAAAACGCTCTAGATTTTCTGTCTCTCCCGCATCCCCCGTCCAAGACTTTGCTCAAGGGTTCCTGGGACACCGGGGATACAGTTAATGAAAGAACTCGGGTTTGTTTTATTGCCGGGCCTGGGAGTGTTTTTTTTTATTGTTTTGTTTTGTTTTGTTTGTTTATTGTTTTTTTGTGGGAGACACGAAAGTCTCAGCTGTGGACCACCAGCTGAAAGTCTCCGGCTGTGGAGAGAAGGGAAAGGCCAAGAGATGTTATTTCAACCTAGCTGTTCAAATCCTGGGAAACCCGGCTGAGGACCAGGCAGTTTCCGCGGCAGGGCGAGCGTGGGCACGGAGGGAGCGGTGGATGGGGCTGAAGGAGAGCTGCTCAGGAAAGACACCTTGCTCCTGACCTCGGCAGGAAAGTAGTGACCGAGATCCCCTTCTCTCTTTAGGTATGAAAGATGCCGCCGAGCTTCTGGGTCACCGGGAGGCGGTGAAGTGCAGGCTGGGCGTGGGGGGCTCTGACCCTGGGGGCCATCCCGGGGATCTGGCGCCCAACTCGGATCCAGTCGAAGGAACCACTCTGCTGCCGGGCGAGGACATCACCACAGTGGGCTCTACTCCTGCTTCCCTGGCGGTGAGCGCTAAAGACCCTGACAAGCAGCCGGGGCCCCAGGGTGGCCCCAATCCCAGCCAAGCCGGTCAACAGCAGGGCCAGCAGAAGCAGAAGCGCCACCGGACTCGCTTCACCCCAGCGCAACTGAACGAGTTGGAGAGAAGCTTCGCCAAAACTCACTACCCTGACATCTTCATGCGTGAGGAGCTGGCGCTGCGTATTGGGCTGACCGAGTCGCGAGTACAGGTACACCCGACTTGGGCTGGGGGCGGGGGCGCAAGGAGGGACAGGAGGACCCGGGCACCGAGGAGCTAGGTATTCTGCGCTGCTGCGATCCCGGCACTTGCTGGATAGGAAGAGCTCTTTCTCAATCCTAACACTGGCTAGGATGATCGACAGGCCCCAATGGACTACCTCCATTGTAGCCACATCTCCCCGCTGAAACCTCTCAAAAAACAAAACCAAAACAATAAAACAAGCCCAGCTTTATGGGGATGCCGGGTCCAACTCTCGCCTCCCAAGAAGGGAACCTTCTTGTCTCCCCAGCAGCTAAGCCTCGCTCACCTTGCTCCCGCTCTCACTGTTGACAAGTGGTTCATTACCTTGTAATGAGTTTCTATTACGAATCTGGATAAATGGGGGAAATGTCACACTTACACAGAAAACAGGAAAGAGGAATTACAGTGGGTGCCTTTAAAAGAGGGGTGGCATACTCAAACTTCCGAATGTGCTTTTATTCTCCTAAATATCACCCTCTTAACTTTCAGGGAAAACATCCTCAGCTTTGCTGTTTTCAAAAGCTTGGGTGATCTAATGAGGCGTTGGGAATGGTCAGAAATACTACACCATCTATGAACTCTGGGATTTTAATTTTAACAAAACAATTGAGATTCCCCTAAGGATGAAGGCAGGAACTGAGCACTTCCTGTTTCAGATATCTGACCCGAAGAAGGAATTTTTCAAGTCAGAAAGATTAACCTGTAAAAGAGAAAATAGTTATTGTATCCCTATTTTTATCCAACCACCCTCCAAGATGTAATTGTTTGGAATCTAGGAATTCTCACCTGTACCTCTTCTGAAAATTGGGGGAGAAAAGTATACGATTAATGAATCCCAAATTCTTTCCTTTCCCTTTCAAAAGACTGACCTGCTATTTCATAGACAGGCGCTTGGATGAAACCTTGCAATTAGCCTGGAGCTATCCACGGTGCTGAAAATTTCATCCCTGTTACTTTGGATTTTTTCTTTTAAAAACTGGGTGCCAAACTGACTAATTTGTTCAGACAGTGTTACTTGACTTTGTAAAATAACTTTAAGAACTTCAGTTCGCTTACATTTGAATGACCAGAAAATCAGGATTTGTTTCCATTTGGTATTTTGTAGATTGTCTAAACGGGAATTTGTACTTTTGTTCTAATAAGAAATGAGTGTCACCAGGGTCTTAAAACGGTCAAATGAATAGGTAAATATTCCTAATTCTTGCTACATTTATTCAAAAGAAATCTGGATATTCGTTAGTAAAATTAAAACTCTGAAAATCTTGAACGACGGGGCACAGACTGCTCAGGCATTTCCTGTTTTTAAATCTTCACCTTATACTCCTCCTTAAGTGTGGGCTCAAACTGTTACAGAAATACACAAACTCAACACATGCCAATGACAGTGCTTAATTGTAGGCTCAATATCAGAGAATAAAAGTTCACAAATTTACTCTTTGTCCTCAAGAAAAATCTTAACTATTAAATTTTGTTTTAAAGAGTGCAGTGCTAGTCTTAACCTAGACATATTGGTAATTAGTTCAAATTAAAAAAGAACTTAGAATCACAAATAAAATATAATTGGAAGGCTGATTTTATGAAAAAAGAAAATGAGGTCTATTAAACTTTATTAGGTCTTCCAAAGGTTAATGGAAGTGATTCTTTTCATAGAAAAAGTTATAAATGAAATAAAATATATGCTGTGTGGTAGCTATTTCCAAAAAGTACACAAAAGAATATGCAAGAAGAAAGAGATAAAGTGTGTTAATTGTTCTAGCATAATGTTCAACCAAAGATAATAGCTTGAGCCTACTGATAGAAACAATTTAATAGAATGACAATTTCAATATTTTTAAAAATAATGTTTCATAATTTAAAAAGTAATCAGATCAACATAACCTTCTTAATTAGCATTTCACAATGATTAACATTATGTAACATAATGCAAAAACAGTTTATAGAAAATGTATTTACTTCACAATTCACTGTACCATTGCTCCTTGACCAAATTCAAATTAAATAGTAATTGGTTTACATTCTTATATGATGAGTGCGTCATAGTTTTCTTTATAGTTAACAGATTGCCACACATTCTTTCCAGTGTGTGGGCCACTGCACTGATTAAAACATTTAACTCATTGCAATTGTATGTTTTCAAAGATGCTTTTTATTTTAGACTAAATTATCCAGTACACTTATTTTTTTTGTCTTTATCTGGACTATATCACACTTTGAAGTATTTACTAAAGCACCTCTACTGATACCAAGGCCAATTCTGTGTATGATACCGCTCCCCTTTTCTGGCTAGTGTAATAAAACCATTCCTTTTATAGCATGCCATTATTAGAAACCAATTTCAGAATTATTTATAACCTGGAATGGCTTATTAAGCAGCAATGCGAGAATCATGCAAATTATGCGATCAAATGCAATATAATAAGCATAATCATTAGTCTCTAGCACGGATTAATTAACTTTCAATATTTTATTTACATAAAAACCAAATCAGTGAAATAACTTCTGCACAGCCAGGCTTGCCTTTCAATATTTTATACGAACAAAAATAATGTGCTGTAATTCCATTGACCGTGTCCCTCAGAATGGCCCTGTCACCTGCCACATCTTAATAGGGGGACAAGCTGAGAGTATTTTCTAGTTTTCTAATGGAATGAGAAATTGCATTTTCTTCCTCTCCCAGCACTATTAAAGTGTAATGAATTCGGCCCAGAGTTCACGGCTGGCTGATCGAAATGAACCTGAGATCTAGGCTTTAATACAGCGCCCCAGATTTCCTCCCAAATCTTCACATTAATCATTTGCTGGATTCCAATGAGGTCTTCATAAAGCATTTGCTTCAAGTATGTGTGTGTGTGTGTGGGGGGGTAATATTCGTTCTCTCTCCCCTTCTTTCTCTCTTCCTGAGCCATTTATAGCTGGGGAATTAAACGGGCGATATATTTTAAAATACATTTACAGTATGTCTATATTACTGTAACAGCGGATATCATGAGAGTGGATTTTTAGATTCCAACCTCCATTAGATTCTCACTGTTGTATTAAGCATTTTCTGAGGAGAGCTGCATTTCAAACGAAGTACAAAGTTGGATCTTCGGCTGTGGTTAATATATTTCCTGGAGTTGTCATCTGTGCTTTCTGAAAGCCTCCCTTAGGTTTCGTCTGCGTTTTAACCCGTCATGCTCTAGTTTTCAAGTGGAAACATTCACATTTTAAAAACATATGCATCCCAGCTTGGAATGGAGGTGCTCAGAGGCCATGGAGATTTTTCTTCCTTGTATCTCAGTAAACCATGAAACATAAAAAATTTGTAGTCATCGTTTGACTACTAACCCTCAAACATAATTGAGCATGATTTTTCGATTATTCCTCTAATATTTAGCCCTTTAGCAGTGGTTCTTTTCCTTATGAGCAGACTCTGGATTCAGAAGCTTTTGGGGGGGGGCAGCAGTGTTTGCTCTTGAAATCCTCCTGCTGGGCAGTTTGACATGTTTTTTCTTTCTTTTGCTTCTTTCTCCACCTCTTCTCCCAAGTTATCACCTCTGAAACACTCGCCCTCTAGGACTCACTAGCTCCAGAGAGTGTTAGGAATTGGTCTCAACTCTCTTTCAAAGAACCCCTTGCAAGCTGCAGGTGTGCTGGGAGAACATTCTGAATACAGCCAAGAGTCAGTCAAGGGTTTCCTCTTGTCCAGCTCCCCAAACTAATGTTGGGTGGGTGCTTCAAAGGGTCTTTGGGACATTAGGTCTCCTTACTTTCTTTCCCTCTAAGGCCAAAGGCTGCTAACAACTCAATCGGCCACATTGATCCCAACACCACCATCAAGGGCTCTGCCGCCTCATTAATCGCTATGCCAGCTCAAGAGCAGCAGCTCAGTGTCCATCGCCAGCACTGGGTTAGACAACAATGTGGGAGATGGTGTACACACTAGAACAAGACAAGGTGGTGAGCAAAGTCGCAGGCGAGACAGGAAGACACGGGTGGCTTCAGAGAGAACTGCAAAGCTCTTCACACCAGTAAAGAGTATGTCAGCTCGCGCGGCTATAAATCCTTGGTTTACCAAGAATGAAGGCAAATGGGTCCATATTCCTGACACTTCAACTTGCAAAGCAAATACTACATAGGTCAGGCGGCCAGATAAATCACTTTGGGGGTCACAGATGTGGAGAACAGGTTGTGTTGGCCAAATTCTAACAGGCCCAGTCAATATTTGATCTCTGTTTCGCCCCGCTTTATAGGTAGTATCAGGAGTCATCCTGATAACTAGATTTTAAAGGAAAGCCTGCCAAGGAAGTGCACTGAGAACCCTCTCCCCTGAAAGGTGAAATTTGAATCGGTGGAGATGGGACATTATCAAGGTCAGATGGGGTGTCTATTATTACTCAGAGGAATTCTCATACTGTGATAGTGAATTTTACATTTGTAGGCACATTTGTAGGCTCTGAAATTCCTGGGCCACAACTAGGAAGGAAAAATGAGGAGGCTTGTTTGAGGTATAGTTTATTAAACAGTTCTTCCTGGAAAAAGAAAAGATGCATCCATCGTCCCAGCAAATTTAGATTTGCATTTTGACCAGGGAGAGTTCTAAAGTTGACCTTCTTTCCTTTGTATTTGCTTTAGTTTATAACACAAGAGGCGGGTGTGTGTGTGTGTGTGTGTGTGTGTGTGTGTGTGTGTGTGCAACTTGCAGGCAGTAGAGGACATGTTAGGGATCCGAGGTAAGTTACTGGGAGGCATAGATTGAAGGGGTTCGGGACTCTGGCTGCAAGTTCCAGCAGACAAAGGTGCCCTCCCAGCATTTTGGGAGTGAGACGGGGAGGAGCCTTGTGGCAGTTCCACCAAGCGCTGAGGGAGGAATCAGAAATCAAGGTGGCAACCAAACAACACCACAGCTCAGTGGCTCACTTGGCCACCCGGGTCACTATATTAACCTCTCTGCTCTGTCAGCCGTGATGTTAGGGGGGTTTCCTTTGTCTTTCGATTTTGAAACTGTTTATGTCATTCGTGGCCTTTCATCAATTTCCAAATTTCCAGTGTTTCTGAAAATTCTATACCCCATCAGTGCTATAAGACATGCTATTAAGCCGCAGGGGTACTCATGTTTATCTTCATTTGTACACCTGTGGGTCGAGCCTTGACACACGCCTGCCCACAGACTGGTGCATCCGTACAATGCACAGACTATGCCAGAATGCAGGGGGTGCTGAACGCTGCACACGGTGGCATGTGTGGTGGTGTTCGCACGGTGCGTTCTGCGCCAGTGGGCACCGCGACTTGAGAGTGCCGCCGGAGGCTGCGCTTGGTGGCGGCAAAGGGGCGTCCGTCGTTCCGCGGAGGCGGAGAGCTCGGAGCTCGCGCTGGGCGTGGAGGCGTGTCGAGCCCGGAGCACCGACTCAGCCAGGGGTCGAGTGACGGTGAGAAGCCGGACTCCCAGGACTCGATCTCCCACCGGGGTCGCTAACCTCGCCGGGTCTTGTCTCCCCCACCCCGCCCGCTGCAGGTCTGGTTCCAGAATCGGCGCGCCAAGTGGAAGAAGCGCAAGAAGACCACCAACGTGTTCCGCGCGCCCGGCACGCTGCTGCCCACGCCGGGCTTGCCCCAGTTCCCGTCGGCCGCTGCCGCCGCCGCCGCCGCCATGGGTGACAGCCTGTGCTCTTTCCACGCCAACGACACCCGCTGGGCGGCGGCCGCCATGCCCGGTGTGTCCCAGCTGCCGCTGCCGCCCGCGCTCGGCCGCCAGCAGGCTATGGCGCAGTCGCTGTCACAGTGCAGCCTGGCCGCGGGGCCACCGCCCAACTCCATGGGCTTGTCCAACAGCCTGGCGGGCTCCAACGGCGCGGGGCTGCAGTCGCACCTCTACCAGCCCGCCTTTCCCGGCATGGTGCCCGCCTCCCTCCCCGGCCCCAGCAACGTCTCCGGCTCGCCCCAGCTCTGCAGCTCTCCGGACAGCAGCGACGTGTGGCGGGGCACGAGCATCGCGTCCCTGCGCCGCAAGGCGCTCGAGCACACAGTCTCCATGAGCTTCACCTAATGCCGCTGCGCGCAGCCCAGCCCGCATCGCAGGGCGCCACCCACCCTCCGACACACCCTCGGCCGCGCGCGCCGGGCTCCCAGCTCCCCCGCCCGGTGTCCCCGGTCCTCCCAGAGCCCCAGCGAGGCCGCCACCCAAGTTCCCCTCCCACCCCCTTCCCGCCCGACTGCCCGAGCCCAGCGCTGCCCGCTGCCCCGGCCTCCCGCTTGCCCAGGTCGTGCTCGCGCCCTCCTCCCGGCCTCTGCCTGGCGGCGTCCCCGGCCACACACTGGTCACTACCCCCCACCACATAACGTCCCCACGACCCCGCCTCGCCCGCGCCTCCCTTCGGGCTCCTTCTCTCCCAGCGCCTCACACCCCTGCTCCCGCGCCCGGCAGAAAGCATCCTTCCCGCCATTTTACTTACCAGGGAGTCGACTCAGGATCTGAAATCAGACACCAATGGACTGGTTTGTGGGCAGAAACACACCACACACACACACACACACACACACACACACACACACACACACACACCTGCACCATAGCTCACGCTCAGACTCTACGCGCGAGCGCGCGCACAGACACAAACACACACACACACACACACACACACGCACACACACAGTGCATCTTGGTCACACACGGACGTGTTCAAGGTACAGCACAATGTTAGGGATTTTTGTCTTAAAGGTGGACAAGCATCTGCTACCAACCGCCTCATCTGAGGGCCCAAATGATGTAATTTGATTTAACCCTGTATTCTTTCTCCGAACTCCTCTCTTTCCGGGACCACCACCCTGCCCTGTCCACCCAGTCACGTCCATGCAACCCTCTATTGGCTTACAAAAGACCGCTTTCGTTATAACGAGCCGCAGCGCGGGTTTTTCTTTTCTTAAGCACAAAGGTGTGAGGGTATAGAAGGGAAGGCTTCTCAGGAGGAACGTGCCAGCGGATTGGGTGGCTGGAGCAAACTGAAGCAGTTATGTGAGGAAGGAAGAGGTGATCTCTCCCATTTTGATAGGCCTTTATAGGAAGAGCAAAATACACACGTAAGGATTTTTTTTTTCCTTTTGTAAAAGCAAAGCCACATCTCTTTTCTAGATCCTTCAGGACTGGTGTTCGTTTGCTTCCTTTTCTGTTTTTCTCTTCTCGCTGCTCTGTGCCCTTGGTTGTTTTGTGGTCGTCCTATCGCGTCTTTCCTGCCCCCCTCGGCCTCCTGCCGGCCGCCGGTGGGTGCAGGCGGACATCTAACAACCCTGCAACTTTGTACAGAGAAACACAATCAGCTCCTTCTGCATGTGCTGGTCAAATCCAAACCCAGAGAACAGAAGCGCTTTCTAAGAATGAACAAACGTGAAATAGGATGTTTTGTGTAGATAAAGCATTCTCGTTACATACTGGTCAATTTGTGATATGTTTTAACTTATTGTCTGTGCTTATTTATGGTATTTGGTTTTCTTAATAAATGTTTGAGCTAATATAAAGCATATTATTTGACTTTTCCGGACAAGTTTATATCAAGTTAAATGTAAATGGATAAAAATAAAATCATTTTCAGTATGTGATACAGAGAATGATGGGTTTTGGTGTAACTTTGACCGACAGGATTGGGAGGGAATCTCAGAGGAGCGGGGAGAGGGTTAATCTCAACTGGTGCGGTGGCAGTTGGGGTGCCCAGGCTCTTCGCCCCCGCAGTAGACTTGGGTGTACTCTCTGGGCAGCCCCGCGAGGCCTTCATAGCAAGGCTCCCTGCTGTGCAGCGGACACAGGCAGGAAGCGCGGAAGCCCGGCCTGGCGCGTTCCACGCGAGCTCAGAGTCTCGCGAGGCTTTGGGCCTAAGCCCAAGCTCTGGACAGGGCCGGAGGTTCACGCGGGGTCAAGGGGTGAGCCGCTTTGGCGACGGGGTCGGTGGGACTGCGGCGCGGAGGGCGCCCCTCGCGGACTGAGGAGGCCGCGGGTGAGAAGCCTCGGCCTGGTGCAGTCCAAGGCCGCGCCCGCTCCGGGGCAGCCTGGGCGCAGCTCCCCAGGTGTCCCCACGCTAAACTCCAGCGTCCCGAACTGCCCTCCGGGGGACACACGAGGGCTCCGAGGGGGTGGCGTGGCCCCCGTGACGCCTGGGTGCTCCTCCAGGCCTCCCCTGCTGGTCGGCTCTGCTTTTCCCTGGGGCCCTGCTCGGTGCCAGCTAGCCTCGAAGTTAGCCACGTGCTCGGGGATTGCCCTCAAGGCGTGGTAGAAATGGCTGTGTCTGCCATAGGCTGCGGGGGAAGGTCGTGGCGTGTTTTAGAATCGGAGGCAAATCGATATCACACTCTTGCTTTGGAAAACTAACCAAATCAATCTGAAATCTAATGGTCGTTATAGGCATTGAGAGGGCACCCCTTTTCCCGTGGGAAGACTTCTCACTTAGTTGCCAGAGTGTAAACCCTAAAATCACCCTTATTCTAGATTACTCTTTTGTGTCACAGGGTTAAACATGAACCTTAAGAACTACATGTAATCATTACTCAACTACCAGAGCACAAATCGCCTTAAAGGTGAGGGCAAAGAAGAATGGTTTTCTTTGATTAAAAACAAAAACAATAAAGCCCGTGTGTTCCTGTTACTTAAAGGATCTTAATTAGAAGCAAGTCAGTGAGTTTACAGGGTATTGCAATTCTGTATTTTCTAAAGAAACATTAACATATTAAGGGAAAGTCTTTAATTTTAGATTTTATATTAAAATGCAACTTTTTGTTTTGAGACAGGGTCTGGGTATGTAGCCTGGGCTGTCCTGGAACTTGAAGTGTTTTTCCTGCCTCTGCCTCCTGAGTGCTAGGATCACAGGGATCACCATGCCAGACAAAAATGGGACAATTCTGTACTTTTGGAATGTTTCCTAAAATTAAGAAGGAAGCCTTCTTGTTTATAAAGCATCAGGAGACGAAGAGTATTTTTTTTTAATATGTCTTATGTTCTCCCTAGTCTTATGTTAATGCGTTAAAAAAAATCCCTTTTGGATACCATAATATCAAGTTGCATTTAAGAGATCAGTGCAAATCACCATTGATGGCTTCACCAGTGAGCATGGAAAGTTGTTTACGAGGATGCTAATTTTACAGCTTTTTTATATTGCTATAAAGCATAACTTTATGATCTAGGAATGAAATAAAGGATGTTAAATGGAATCTTTAAAATTTGGATTCCTCAAAGGCAAGGGAAATAGGATCTTTCATTTTTAAAAAATGGGCTAACTCAGAACGCTGATGAGAAGCTAGAAATCAACTGAAGTGATAGAGGTTTTCAGAGACATTTATATTCTGTAATATAGTGTCTATTTATCAACATCAAAATCAAAGTATACAGAGGTTTTCACTTGACATGACTCTGGAATAATATTTGTCTCTATGGCAATAATTTTTTTCCATTTTTTGTATTAAGAATCCTCAACATTTAAAAATCATACGTGCTATTAGGGTAGGGGAAGGCTAACCTGACCCAAGTGTTCAGGTTGGCTGTTTAAGAAAGAAAAAAAAGCAGAGACTGAAAATCTCAATTACAAGCATGGAAGATTTTTGTTCTTTTGAGGGAGAACAAAACCTAACAGAATAATATTTCCTATTATTTTTACTCATTACTGAAAGCAAGCCCGACTCTCGTTTGGTAACGCTATAGCTAGAGTGAGTCAGGGCTACAGTGTGTGGAGTGTGGGCTACAGGTCAGATGAGTACAGCATACTAGGTGGCTGCCTCTGATGGACTGCCTGACATCTGCCACTACATGCCAGCCAGAAAAGTCAAAGTCTATTATGATGTAACCATATGATTGCTTTATTTTTCTTATACATATTTATCATTGTATCTTAGTTTTCTTCTCCAAATCGGCACTAAGTAGCCTATGTATCATGCTAGTAATGGCGTAATAATGTAATAATGATGCTCCTTTTACTTTTTGTTGTTGATGGAGAATATATGATATAGGAATTCACCTGCTAAAGATGATGTTAGGTAGTGAATGTAAAGTAGGATGGAGAATAATTTGGGTAAATCTCGAAACTTTCAAATCTAGGTGTACAGAAGACAGAGAGATGAAATTCTGACTCCGCGGTAATTTGTATTTGTTGCTCTCAATGATTTTTCACCCTGAAAATGAAAATGTATTTCTAATCTGTGTGGTGGACCTGGTGTTTTAATGTTTGGGATAATGAAAACACTCAGCTTACACAGATGTGTACCCCACCCATGGCAGCAGTTAACCGGTCAGTTGAAAGAATGTAACCTTCATTTCCTTCCTTTCAGACATAAAGATAATCTCATCTGAGGGCATTTATGTGAAGAAATAACAGCATGGCATGGTGAAACTACTGGCTCATTAATCCTGGCATCTACTTCCTACAGGGTTCCTTGATTAGTTAGATTCATTCATAGGGTATTTCAGAGTTTTTGATTTGTCGCCATTGGCTAGGTTCACTGAGTTCAGGCTAAATTGAGCCAGAAGCAATGTTTATTAGTAATTTTGTAGTACAGGCTACCCTAATAATTCAGCCCAGATATCTCATCTGAAAAATGTCCATTCATTCTCGCCTCTAATTTGGATTGCAGCTGTGTTCATAGGGAACTGAAAGAGCATCAGTGATTGGACATGTATTTTCTAAATTATTAATATGATGGCTAATAGCTGTGAACCCATCTTCATAGCCAATACAGAAATTATGCTTCATTTTTAAAAACAAAAGCAGCAACAAAGGGGGACAACCCCTGCCTGGCTCGCTGCTCTCATCAGTGCAGGGCTCTTGGTGAAGGAATCAAGGCCTATTTAACAGAGAGAAGCAGAGCGATGCCTTCGGGCCTTTGTTTTTGTTCTCTTCAGTTATGCACGATCAAAATAAGGTGTGCGCTTATGAGATTTCCTCTACAACAACATTAAGAAAATTCATGTATGAGCCACATAGAGGATCTTTCCCCAAGTTTGGTCATGTCACAGTCTTTAAGCAGGCACGGTTAGTTGTTTGCACAGCGAAGCTGCATCTGCATTCTCATGATCCAGTGTGCCATA